TGCGCTCGCCCGGAATGAAAGCCTCTGGCCTCCCGAACCTTGCGAACAAGGACAAACAACTACGCTAGTGGATGCAGTTGAAGGAGCGCCTCTCCTCCTGGGCGGAAAAGAGAGCCGGAAGGCGAGGAAGGGCTGTCCGCGTTCATACAAGGATTCGAATGGGTTTATTGGGATGGTGTGAGGTGCATTCCTCATTAAAACATTGTGTTGACGAAGCAAAAACGGTCGGTGATGAGCCGAGACATGGGAGCTTGGAACAACAAGGATGCACTGAAAAGGTGCTCGCGATCCAAGCCTGGTCGCCTGTGATCAATTGTAAGACATTCCGGAAATTCAGGTAGTTCAGCGCAATCTTTGCAGCCGAGGTACTTGTACTTGAAGGGGTCAGATGGCTTGGCGGAAGAAGTAAAATTGTTCATCGCCCGATAAATCCTTACCTCCTCTGCGGCGAGAACCCCGTTTGCATCCCGGGACGGGAGTCGGACTCATTTGAGTCTCCTGGAGAGTACAGGAAAGAAAAAGGAAGAAGAAAAGAAGAGAAACCCGAGGTTTGCCACACCCCCACATCCACCCGGGACCTTGTCTCAGGCACCAAACTTACCCCAGTCTTGCGGTGACCTTGCTGGCAGGCTTCCCAGGTTTTGAGTTCATTCAGATCCTAGCTCCTTCGCATTTTCTGTTTGTTGTTGGTAAATGCAAGGGATAAAATTACAGACTGGAGACACCAATAATAAGGCGAAGCCTTCGAAAGAGAGGAGAAAAGAGAAGGGGCATGGGGGGGCAAGACGAAAAGAAGGGAACAAGACCCGACGACGAGAAACAAGTGGTCGTCAAGCATAGCACTAGGCGAGGTGATCCGGTAGAACGAGGAACCCCTCCCCTCGACCCCTTGATCGAGAATAACCCCACGATTCACTGTCAAAGCATAATTGTCGACCCAAAGCTGGCTGTGGATGGGGTGAATCTCGTGAGAAAATCTCTGCCTGCGATTGGGGTAGCCTTGGCGCTTGCACCCCTCACGTTACCATTCTCGCCCTCGCCTTGCCCTTCCCAGGCGCTCGGGAAGAATCACAAGCCAAGCTAAGCCAGGGGTGCCCAGAGCCTGATAGAGCGTCGATAACGTATGCGTCCTGGATCGATGAATACCAGAACTGATACCGAGCGCAGGGTGGAGGATCAGGTATTGCCAATGTTTCACCACAGGCCGTGTTCATCTCTTGCGCCTTTCTCTCCTTCATCCCCCATCTCTTCCATTCACTCTCCTTTCTTCTTTCTTTCTTATTGATCTATGTACGTCTTCATTTTCATCATCCAAAACCTCGGGCCCTCAGAGCCAAAAAGCTTGAAAAGGAATAAGCAGTGATTCAGATGAGGTGAGAAAGAGGCTGGAAGTGGAAGTTTGGCTGCTCAAGGAGATCGGTAAGCTGTGAACCCCTTCAGCCCCTGTCAACCAGCAAAGCCGTCAAGTGGAGACAGTTTCAGTTGGCTGGTAAAAATCATTGTCTATGAGTCCATAGCTAGGAAGAAGGTCGAGAGGCCGAAACTGGATAGAGGATGCCTCTAATGGTGAATGAGTGGAAGGATCGCTGGGTATATAGATAAGGAACGCCGCAGCTAGATGCGTCATTTCTACCCCATCATTCTTCTCATCCCTTTCGCCTTCGAGGCTGAGGGCTCCGTTCACAGTTCACAGTGTGTGGGGTTTCCATCTTTACTTCTGGCCTCTGGGTTCGGTGAGAACTTCAACGGGCTAACTTCGCCAAACATGAAGTGCATTCATTCATCTCGGTCACTGACTGCCTGTTCTGTTCTGAATCGACCACGCCTGTAGCTAGTCGATGAGTTGCCTCGCGTACATGTAGCATTGCTCTTCTTTATCGTATTGGAAAAGCCCGGCCCCACCTTGGCGCCATGAACCGTCCATTTTATCCACCTGTCGCCTCGAGTTCGGTCCTGTCCTCAATATTGAGCCTACCTGTGCTTATCGTTCGTACTTCGAGTCTCGACGCACCAAAGAGGTATCCTTCAAAGATTAGCACCAGCACATGCACAAGCACGTGCTAAATGGCCGAGTTCTCATTGTGTCAAGGGCATTGAAAATATTGGGATGAATTGTCCAGGGTTTAGAGATCAGGAAGAGAATACCCTCACCCGCGCCTCAAGCCACAATATCAGGCTTTTGTTTCTTCTTTTTCTTTTTCTTTTTCTTCTCTTTTCATCTTCCTGATTTGATGTCTAGCTCGTAAAGGCCACGGTGGGTATTATCCCGCCCGACCTACCCATTCAATGAACCACACACACCGGGAATGGAGGAATTTGGGCTTCTCCCGGTTGATGCTGGTTGGTAATAGCTGGCGGAAAATGATAATTGCCTATCTTGCTCTATATCACGGATGGTTAATTTCTGTCGCTTATGACGACAGGCGGACACGGCTAGGGCAACTTCTAACCCGTCTCGTTTTCTTCTTCTTTGCAATGTAGATTAGATGACTCGGTGAGTAGGACTGTGATTGCCAATTGCGACCCGGGTTGCTCGTCCAGAGGCTCTTCGGTTGACAGGCCACAATCTATACGGTCGAGCTTGCTTCCCGAACTCCCTATCGTATCGTTGAAGTACGAAGTACTCGTCTCCTTGTATATTTATCCTATTTTATCTGTGATACATGTTCGAGGAGCCATGGCATTAGGCGGCGACAAGAAAGAAGAAGGAAAGCCATCAAGTTGTCGGTGCATGGTAGCTTGAAGCGTGCCAGACTTGTTTCTCCTTTTCTTGCCCCACGGTTGTCGCTCCTGGGAGAGCACGGGTATCGAAGCCATTTCATTCTCGGATCATGGTTTTGTCACCATCGCACACATCATGCAGGGTGTGGGAAAATCCAGCTTTATCTGACTGGGGCTGTCCCTGGACTGGGCTTGAGGCAACCCTTGTAAAATGAGAAACTTTTCCTTTCTTTTTCCTTTTTCTTTGTTTCTTTTCATTTTTTTATTCACTCTCGCTTGAGATTATTGGCCACCAAGGCATCTCGAGGCGCAGGGCGGCAATCCTGTCACTGTTTGGAAGGCAATACCGAGCCTGCTCTGCTGCTCCCAGAGAAAGTGAAATCAAGACGATCACCTCCCTGGCTTTCGCGCCCTACAGAGGGAGGTGGGGAGAGTCAAGGGAATACTCATTTCCTTGGCCAAATGCTGCGTTTTCCTGTTCCGAAAATCAGGTTGGTCAGGGTGATTTTACTAGAAGGCAAGGCAGCATCTTACCACGCCCTATTCCCCAACTCGAGGCCACACGCTCCATTCGAGAGTGAAGTCGCCTTCGCGGTCACGCTTCATGCCGAACGCGCCTCGAGGATCCAAGGGCTGTGATACGTTTGCTTATGCATTGCGAATAGATTTCATGTCATGCACAGCGCACGATACGTGTCTTTCCCCTTTGCTTTTGCCTCTGGGGAGGAATCAGTTGCTGTTTCTCTCTTCTCTTCAGGGGCGGCCAATCCGAAGCCCAAGCGCGCGATACGACTTGTGGGGCAGCTGGGGAGGGGAACATGGATCGATGAATCACAGCTTCGAGACACACTCTCCGCCAACAAAAAGGAGAGGGCCATGTACTGGTGTCTGGCGTCCCCATACCCCAGGATTGTGAGGTTGTTCGGTTCCCTCAGCTCAGCACATGCCATGCCCGCGATTTCGGCGGGTGTACTTGGGAAGAGCAGGAGGGTTGAGAGATCCCTGCCGCACACCCCCAAATCTTGCTCATCACCACCCCATCAGAACCGGAGCACGGGTGTGGAATTGTCATGGGTGCGTTGCTCTGGAGGGGGTGTATGGGGTGGGCATAGCTTGAAGATGTGAGATAGTAGGGGGCGTGTTGAATCGTTCTTGCAGGCTCTTCCGCTGCTCTGTCTGTTCACCCCTCTTATCAAACACCCCCTCCGGCCCAACCCACCCTGGACCAGCTCATCCAAGACCCCCTTCTGTGGATAAACCCCCTCCTGAGTCTTTCATCCCCTCCGCCGTACTTGCCGACTTGGAGGGAAACCTGAGGGAAGCCGAAAGGGTACCTGCTCCGGTATCTTCCACCAGGATGTGAGAGAATCCCGGCGAAAACCAAGGACAAGAGAACTGGCCCTTGGTTTTCTTCTTTCTGTTTTCTTCTTTTTATTTTTTATTGAATTTTCTTCTTATTATCTCCCTCTTCCAGCCTGCCATTTCTCTCTGAAGAGACTACTAGTCGTAATTCATTGAGGTTGGAGCGAAGAACCCAAAGCAACGCTATCATGGAAGGAAACATCGAATAGTCCCCGGTTTGACAAATTTGGCTCCTCCTCTCTCCCCATAAACAGACCGAGCAACGGAGCCCTCGGGGAGTTTGGCCGAAGTCTTTCAGCGTACAACAGGCTCCAGGATTACAAGTACTCTCGTACTCCTGCAACCAGCGGTCCCCGCTTCGTGAAAAGGTACGTATCTACCGCCTTGTTAGCCAGGGCCATCCGCCCCCCTTTGCGCCGAGAGCCCCCGCCAAAGCGGGAAAAAGAAAAAAAGAGATGAAAAAGAAAAAGAAAAGAAAAGAAGACAAGGGAAAAAAAGAAGAAAAAAGAAGAACCTGTCATATCGACACCCCGACCAGAACCTCCTCACCCCACACCCACTCCACACCCCACACACCCCCACCCCCTAACACTGCTTCTCTTCACTCTCTCCCTTTGAAAATTCCTGTCATAAAAGCCAGCCCGACCGCCCCTTCCCTCCATCGACCGAGACCTTTCTTCTAGCATCACCAATTCCAGAATACCTTCGCCACAGAGCAGCGCAGCTCAGTTCTTCGCGGTCTTTTCGAGCCTGGTCTAGATCAGACCACCCATACAGCAATCACCCTTGCCGACTACAACTTCTCTTTGCGATTCACCTAGGCATTGAAATACTTGCCGCCGTCCCTTCCACCCTTACTGGAAGGACTACTTTTGACAAAAACCGAGACTTATCGCAAAGGACAGAAATCAACCAGAATGGCTAGCTCAACGAACCTCAAGCCCAACGGGCCCGTTCCCAATGGCCGCCAGCCTACCGATGCTCCTACGGAACTTCCCCGACCTTACAAGTGCACCATGTGCGACAAGGCGTTCCACCGTCTGGAGCATCAGACCAGACATATCCGAACCCACACTGGCGAGAAACCCCATGCCTGCCAGTTTCCTGGATGCAGCAAGAAGTTCTCCCGCTCGGATGAGTTGACTCGCCACTCGAGGATACATAACAACGCCAACTCGAAGCGAGGAAACAGGGCCCATCAGCAACTCCAGGCCGACAGCATGCTGCCTCCTCCTCCGGCCCCTCGGGCAATCCGCTCCGCGCCTACTTCGACGTTGGCTTCACCCAACGTGTCTCCTCCTCAGTCATACTCGTCATATGCTGTCCCTACCTCACACGCATTTCCCGGAGACGTCGCCTTGTTTGCCAGGGATAGCCTCGCGCCCCATATGTACAGACCCCAGCATTATCCTCCCAGCCGTGGCCTTCCTACGTACCCCAGCAGCCACTCGAGGACCTTCGGAGACTACGACCCATTTGATAGCCATTACAGGAACTCTCGTCAGCCCAAGAGGTCGAGGCCCAACTCTCCCATGTCCACCGCCCCCTCTTCGCCAACATTCTCACACGACTCGCTCTCGCCTACTCCGGACCATACGCCCATCGCTACTCCTGCCCACTCTCCTAGACTTCGGCCCTACGTCAACCCTGCCCTGGATCTACCTCCTATCACTACGTTGAGGAACTTGTCTCTTCAACCGCAAAAGGGCCCTGTCCTGGCTCCGATGGAACCCCAGGTTGATGCCCCGGCCCAATCCCACCTCCCGGCGGTGAAGAGCGCGAGGAGTACTGGCATATCTCTTGCCGATATCATCAACAGACCTGATCTTCCCAGACAGCTGCCAATGCCCTAATCAGTGGGCTTCTTTCCTTGATTCATGAAACACAATCAAAACCCCCAAAATTACCTATTTACTTCATCGAACAACTCTCCCCACATACTCTCCCATATTAAACAAAAAAAAAAGAAAGGAAAAAAATTAACGACATGACGACATTGGACTATAATAGACGGATAGAGGGATTGGCGTTTTGCTGAGGACGTCTTTTGCGAGACAGTCAAGGACTTTTTGTGTGTTTTATCTTTATCTTCTGAACTACCTAATTGATGGTACCCAAAGGGACCAGAATTTTCCTCATCTCTACAATGATCTTCACTGCTCACTCCTAAATCATTAACCGTCTGAAGCCGCCACGATGCGGTCCTTAACAGCCGTGCCCTGCCTTGCTTCAACTGCTTCAATGGTTGTTGCAGCAGCTGGCCTGCTCTGCGTAGTATATGTAAGGAAGGGCCAAGGGACAAAGGCCATGCTCACTGAATCATATCACGTCAGCACGTAATCCGTAATGAGGTTACTATTATTTGGAGCGAAGTTAAGTGCTACGGCTTAAATTTTTTTTTACAGATACAAATAAAAAAAAATAAACCATCGCCCCGTTTCTGGAGAAAAATTTTTTCCTTCAGCGGTTTGTGCAGGCTTGTGAATGGGGATGTGCTTTGGCGGTGACGAGCGAGCTAAGGAGTGCGACCACTACTTGGCGATACAAGTTTTTTGGTCCCCACTCAAAACTCCCACTTGTGATGGAGAGGAAGTGACGGATAAGGGCGGAGAGGGGATTCGTTGTGCGTGGTGGCTGAGCGCTCGTGAAACCGTTTTCAGGCACCCTCCCTGGCTCTTCGTCGGCGCATATGGTTCCCAACCCTTTTCCCCACGGGGATGAAAACTCTTGTCGCGGGAAACTACATTGTTTTAGTTCTCCGGGCCCTCTCTGCACCACCTACGACGCTCTGCATTTGGGGGATGGGCGTGTGTGTGGGCGTGATTTCGGGGCTTTGGTGGGAGGGTTGAAGCTTTGTGGGTAGTGAGTGATAAGGGTTCAGATTACTTGTATCGCAAGTACTCGTCACAACATGGGGTGGTTCATTTGGAATGGGAGACTTTCCCATAAGATTGGCTGTTTCTCTTTCGTTGTTTTTGGCTCCTGAGGGAAAGCAGGGTGGGTAGGGGCGTGTAGTGTAGAAGCAGCACGTAAGACGATGATAGGGCCGCATCCAAGTTAGGCTGACGACGTGATCGCTCCCACTCTTTCCCTCTCCCTCCCTCTCGCCCTGTCCAAGCTAATAATACATTGCGCGCTCGCGTTTGCAATGAGCAAAAGAATGTAATTACATTACTTGTTTTGCGGAAGACTCGTCAACCATTCCTGAGACGGGAGAGAAAATATGGGGAGCTATAGGCTCTGGAATTACGTGTGATACTTCGTAACATCGACTGGCGCGGAATGGGGGCATGAGCACGTCACATTCAGACGGTAATACCCAAAGCTGGTAGCTTATGTCCCTCTTCGAAACTCTACGGCTACGAGTGCCGGTGACAGTTGATCGATCCCGTCAGCAGAATTGGTCAATCGATCCATCCATCTATCCATCCATCGAATCCATTGGATCCATGGAATCCACACTTTGGAGCGAGTGAGGCGAGTGGCTTCGAGATCCCTTGGAAAGGTTAGAATCGAGTACACGCCCTATTGCTCAGAGGTAACGTCGCCTAACCCCAATGGATCCACGGATGTTCAGGCGCAACGAAGCTTCACGGCCTTTTGGACTTCGATTCCGGCCACGCACCCCAGATACAATCTGGGGATGCCAGGCTCCTCAAGGGCCCGAACCTGTTTTCTTCGGCCGTAAAAAGTATTGATTGGGCACACGGTGTGGCTCCGCTATAACTCGTGGGCTGTATATTACTTGAGAAGCAGATTATTTGTCTGACACATCGGACCAGCCAGTCTGTCTCTGGATCCCTCCATGATACCTCGTACACCCACCCAGTGCCCTTGTTGCGCCATGAACCCGGGACAGTTTTGCTTTCCCTCAGCCCCTATTACCTGGCAGCTTCCGGCATGCCCGTGTTGGGCTGTGTATACAGCTCAGGTACGCGGACGCCTAGCTGTAGGCAAGGCGATTCCTGGGGGAAATTTATTGATCGATCCCATTGGAAGCAAGGCGGCTTTCGGCTCTTGCTTTTTCTTTTGCCCTTTTGCCTCCTTTTTTTTTTTTTTTTTTTCTCTATCCTCACCCTTCTAAAAGACCACTAGGATGATGAGATCTTGCCAGCGCACCACATTCTCATGGCAAAGCCCGCATAAATCCATTGTGAGCGAGCCTTTGGACGGCTCCCGATGAACGAGATACTTTCAAAGGTAACTTCAGGTTGATGCAAGGTTCAATGAGCTTACCCCTCCCCGAGAAGCTTGTCCCCTCCCAATTTTGTTTACCCCAGTCTATATGACGCCTCCTCGTCCATAGCCCTAAACTCCCAGTTCTCGGCATTCTTGACTGTTGCTCGAGGGTTAAATGAGGGCAACAATGAAACGTGAGAAGAGAAAAGAAACCAAGGCCAGCCAGTGCCACCAGTTGAAACATCCAGAGCCTGGTTGCGCTTACTTTTGTCTCCTTCCTTCCTTTTCCTGCAGGGGAGGAGAGGATGTGTTCTAAAAATTGATTGCGCTTTGTCTCCCTCAATGTTTTTTTCTTCCCCTTTTGCTTCTCACTCTCAAAACCCCAGAGCTGCTGGTCTTGGGCTATACATTTACTACGCATCAACTATAAGTATTTGAAATGGAAAATCTTCGTAACTAGTCTCAACATCAGAAAAAGAATGCAAGGCTAAGAAAGCAAAGTGCGGGCAGCCTTAGGTAATATTCCGATAGACAGCGTGTTGATGGCAGACACTTGCAGATTCATCGTTGAGAAGGTAATCCCTTCCATGCTTGGTAAGTCCTAGTCAAGGTGACATGGTTAGCAAAGATCTTGCATTCAAAGCCAGGGTTGGTCTCTGGGTCAGACACACAGAAACGCGTGCCGCCACTCAAAAGCGACACGCCGGGTCACACCAAGATGGGCGGGGAGGGCTGCACTTGTTCCGTTTGAGAGGACTGACCGAAAGTCCCCTCTGGACCACCGAAGACGGGAAATTTCCCTTTTCCTTTTTCCTTTTGCACATCTCGTATCCAGTTTTGCGTGCTTGCTGTGCACGGTGCCATCAAAGCTTATCGTGGTGTGGAGCGGAGCTCGATGACATCAAGACTGCGAGAATGCAACCGAGCTACAAACGAAGTTTTTGTTTTTTTTTTTTTTTTTTTTTTTTGAGTTTTGCTTCTTAGAACATCTTTGTGGAGAAATGGGAGTTTTCTTCTCCTGGAGAAGCCTGTTCCTTGATAAGTATCGTGCTCCGCCTTCCTTCTCTCCGGGGCAGGGATTGCACAATGACTACGAATTTCTGATGTCCAGAGCTTTTCGGAGCAAGGACCAGGCGAAGCTTGGTTAGCTTCTGCTCAGCACAGCACAAAGCCATTGGGGGTGGGGGCGGGGCACAAATCCAAATTCTTTCGTCATACCTTCCCCGCCATTTCCCGCCCCGCGAAAACAACCAAGCAATAACACGAGGAAGGCGAGGGAATATCCGGCACAAAAGTTTCAGGGCGACCGGGGCGAGGAGACCTAGAAAGTTTAGAGAGGCTAATAGAACAAGAGAACAAGACGCAACAGATCACGAACGGGGAGCGAAGGGAGCGCAAGGGCTGGAAAAATTGAATAGGAAGACGCCGACAGTGACGCACCCTGCATCACGACGGGGTTGTTCGGGCCCCCTTATCTTTCTTCTTTTACTTCCTCTGGCTTTTTGGACTCCTTCTCACCCACTTGATCTAGATATCGAAGCTGGGGTGTGGATAGAGGATCATCAAGTTCTGCGAGTGATGAGATGATGGAAACCTGAGCGTCTTTACACGTGTAAAAGGAACCTTCTCAAAGCCGGTCAGGCATCATTGCCCAGGCTGCCCATCGCCCATCCCTTTGCAAAATTTGCACAAAAATACGTAATGCGTCGCAAAATCCCAAAAGGTGGGTTACTGAAGAAGGAGGGGAAAGGCTGCCCCTCCACGCACCGAAAACTCCAGGATCTCGGAACTGAAACGGGAAATTCCTCGAGCGGAAGGCTAGGGTAGGGACTAAAGGCGTCGTGGGAGGCACCTAGTGTCTGCCCCTCAGCCACCACACCATCTTCTCCTTCACCGCTAGACTGGAGCGACAAATTAGAGATGTTGTCCACATCTTCGCGTGTTGCCTAGCCAGGCTCAGATGAGCCTCGTCGTGGATATGAGTCCTGTGCACCCAACCCAGTGGTGGTGGGGTGCGCAGGAAGAGCCAGGAAAGAAGGAAGGGCATGAACATAGAAGGAGGGGGTCTCGAGAAGATAGCGAGAAAATAGCACAACCAAAGCCATTGCCCTCCGCACTCTTCCTTCGGGGCCCTTCGGGTCAACACCCCGCGATAAGGGGCCAAAAGTGTGGGGGAGCCACCAAGGGGCCCCCTCAGCCAAGGAGGGATTGGATCAGGGAGGTGTCCATGCCCAGGGAGAAGGGCCTGCCACCTGGCACCAATACAAAACAGCCGCGCAACTCTGAGAGGAAAAAAGGAATAAAAAAAAAAAAAGAAAAGGCACTGGAACGCACCGGCACCACGATCGCCTTGAAATCACGTTTTTCACTTCGGTTTCGTTTTCCCTAGTGAAGCGAGGAGCAGTAACACAATAGCAACGACCGTGTTTTCTGATGTGTATATACGCCCGCCGCATGATCCCCACGACTCATGGCAGAGTTTGCCCAGCCTCCCATGGATAGAATTCTGGACTTGACCCTTTTCGGCGCCTGGGTGGGTGTTGTCAACCGAGGAGAAGTTTGGTTCGCGCTAGAAGTGTCCCCCTCCTTCTCCCCACCTACCCTCCGCGCCGGCGATGAGGCCCAGCACTCCGAAAAATAGGACAAGGAAATAGCCGAGTGGGTGTCACATTGA